TACTGAATATACGGTGGACTGCTTAAAGAATGAATATCAGTCTTGGACCAGCCACTCCTCGGAAGGAAGGTTGGGCAATCCTACTTCCGTAGTGATACTGCCTCGGAAACCCAAGGAGGGGTCGCTATGAGTCGGGTTTGACTCGACGGCACATAACAACAACAACAACTTGGAAGAAATGCAACCAGAACGTTCCTTAGAAGTGAGGATGTTGATTGGTTTGTTTCCTTTGGACATGCTATCAGGAAAGATCAATGTTTGGTAAAGGAGAGGGTCAACGGAAATGAGGGAAACTTTCAGTAAGATGGATTGACACAATATCTAAAACATACAAATATTATGAAGGTGGTTCTGGATCAGGCAACATTCATTCTGTTGTATATAAAGTCATTATGAGCTGCAGTGGACTCAATGACAGCTAACTGACAAGGAACATCTTAACTCTCTTGACACCTGTTGTAAACTCTTGAGTTTTCCACTGGACTGTAGGCCAGTACTCAGGGACTACATCACTCTTGTCCATTACTCTTCTCCCAGTGCCCACATAGCACCTGGCATGAACTACATACTCAAGAAATACAGGCAAGGAGGAATGTGATCATAGCAAAAGGAACAAGTCCAAATGTCACTGTAGGGTTTTGGTGTTCCTGTATGCAGGAGCATTTAATTTTCTGCATCAGAGGATTCTTTGCTAAGTCATGAGCCAGTGGCTCTTGAGCAGGCAAGTATTGCATTGTTTAGCATGTAGATGCCTGCAGTTGTTTCTTGTAGTTACATTCTGGGAAAGCAAACCAAATCAAGCTCACTGCATAGAGTCGATTCTGACTCAGGACCCCCATTGGGTTTCCAAGGCTGTAAATCTTTACGGAAGTAGACTGCCTCAACTTTCTTCCATGGAGCTACTGGTTGGTTTGAACTACTCATCTTTTGATTAGCAGCCAAATGCCCTTAACCACTACACCACCAGCGCCCCTTACAGTCTGGAAATCTGGTGGTTAAAAAGGCTTGTGGTGCCTTATTCCAATCAGTGAACCCAAATGCTCACCCAGGAGCTCACCAGCAGATCTGTTTCTGGTGGTAGAATTTCTATAGTGATTCATCTGTGAATATCATGCCTGGCCATCTGCCAGTCTAAGGCCTTTGATGAGAAAATAAGAAATAATTTAATGTTTCTTCAGCCAATCAGATTTGGAATCCACAACTTAAAATATTATTTTGATTTACTAATGAATTGCCTAGGAATTCCTTTTAGAGTCATCTAAATGTTGCTCTTACAAAGGGAGACTCTACACTTGGTCCATTTTCATCTCCAGTTGGTACCATTTCCTCATAGCTGTAAACTGAAGGGTTTATTTCTGTAGGAATATGTGTTCTAGTGTCTTCCTATGTTACCTTTAACTTTGCATATGCATTCCTAGCATTTTTAAGTGTCCTCATGAAATTTTACAAAGGGCACTGCTAACTAGAAGGCTGCGGTTCTAACCCATCAGCCACTCCTTCCTTGGAAGGAAGGTTGGGCAATCTAGTTCCATAGTGATATTGCCTTGGAAAACCAAGGAGGGGTCACTATGAGTTGGGTCCGACTCGACGGCACATAACAACTTATATGTTGTGTGGCAGTTGCTCTGACTCTCGCCACACTTCTGTAGAAGGTGATCACTTTTGTTGGACTCATGTCTAGAAAGTAGTTTCAAGAGTAGTTGAAAACAGGTTATGAAGGAGCAAGATGAAATGGGCAGATATTTCCTCAAAGGGTATATTTCTATATACTTTTCAAGTAACAGAGTGAAAACAATTTTCTATTGTATATCCCTTTCCTATTATAAAAAATAAATATTACACTACAGATCTGCCCATTGTTTATTTCAGTCTGAAAATAGGGACAGGTTAAATGAAAATGCATGAACTAGAATGAATATAAATCTAAAATAACTGGTGGATAATTTTTTAAATTGTCTCTCCTTTCCAGTGCTTTCTTTTATGTAATTTTAATAAACTAAAATATATGATACCTTTGAAGAATGAAAATTGAAAATAATGAAAGAAATCATTATTATGTAATGATCTGAAGCCACTTGGGGAGTGAACACTGTGTACTTTGTTCTCATAATAAAGGCAGAGACTGTCTTCCCTAGTCCAATCATGGCATCTTTGAAACTGGGAAGTGTGGGCTGTCCCTGGCTTACTCAACTCTATAGACCATTCAGTGAGGACAGCTGTTAGTTTAACCCAGGGTCAGCAAACTATGGCCCGTGGACCAAGTCTGGGACATTGCCTATTTCTTTACGACCCACAAGCTGAGAATGGGTTTTACATTTTTTAACAGTTGAAAAAGATGTCAAAAAAGATTAATATTTTAAGATTTGATGATTATGTAAAATTCCAATTTCAGTGTGTATAATAAAGTTTTATTGGAACACAGCCATGCGTATTAGTTTATATATTGTTATGGCTGCTACTGAGACAGAGTTGTGACAGAGGCTATATGGCTATAAAGTAAAAAAAAAACATTTACTATCTGGCCCTTCACAGAAAGTTTTCCTACCCCTGGTTTCACATAAGAGCTGCAATTACATAAATACTACACTTGTTTAAGGATTGTGCCTTCACTGTACCAACCTCCCCATGATTGGAAAAATATTCTTCTGTGACTTAATAGCCAGGGCGTAATAGGAATAATGTCCTAGGAATTTATGCAGGAAAATGTTGGTCCAGGAAGCACAATTTGACCAAGAATGTTCCAGTTTTTAGATATAAACAGGAATCCCTTAGATTTTTTTTTTTTTTCTTCCCAAACCTGGCTCAACCCTGTGCTGGTGTGCTGGTGAAGGGCAGCAAATGGCTGTTATATTCTAAGGTCATATTTATCAGTGATTCAGACCACACTCACCAATGGTTTTAAAAATTAGGAAGTTATATTGGATGCTATTTGGTTATCTTACCCAGATGAGATTAATTTTAATGGAAAATAAAAGCACACCTGGACGTGTTTCTGCCACCACAGGACCGGCAAGGTCAGACGGCTTCCCAACACCTGCCTGGTTTATGGCTCGGACGCGGAAGACATAGCTGACACCCTCCTTGAGGTCATGCACCTGGAACGAGCAGGTATAGAAGCAGTGAATGTGTTATGACCTTTTAAACAAAAATGCTCTTTCTGTGTAACATTGTTTTAGTCATACAACAGAAAAAGCCCAGGATGTGACCTTAGCTTTAGACTTTTTTCTTTCTGCACCATTTGCAAGTAGTAGATGAGGAAGTTTAAGATCCCTCCAACTCTTTGTTCGATAGTTTAATGGCCACCAACATCAGAAACCAAAGACTAATTTAAAGGAGTTATCCACTTTATTCTTTGGTCAATAAGACAACAAGCAAAGTACTCATGATAGCATATATGCTGCCTTTTTCTTTTTTTCTTAATGCTTTTGAAACATTCCATGAATAATTTCAGATAAAATTCTTGGCAAAAGAGGGGAATTAAAATCACGAATCATTGACACTCTCTGTTTGCTTAAAAGCATGTGAAAGCACTAGAACAAAAACAAAAATTAACTCTGTGAGTTTAATATAGTTATTTCTCAACAAATAGAGCAATAATTAATGTAATTATGAATTTAAGTAATTTGTGAATTATCAAAATTTACAAACCTTATAGAACAGTTCTATTCTGAAGCACATATGTTTCATCCTCGTGGTGACCAGCTTGATGGCAGTTAATGATAACAATGGGAGCTCTGGTAGCGTAGTGCCTAGGCACTTGACTGCTAATCAGAAGAATGGTGGTTCAAATCCACCAGCCACTCCTCGGAAGGAAGGTTGGGCAATCTACTTCTGTAGTGATACTGCCTCGGAAACCCAAGGAGGGATCGCTATGAGTTGGGTCCAACTCGATGGCACATAACAACAACAACAACAATGATAACATTCTAAATTCTAAATCCTTGAGTTTTTAATAACCTAGAGGATGTTGACTGAGGACTTACTACATATGTGCCAATGAACTAGGGTTACAAAGAGTTGTAAAAACTATTTAGATTTATAATAGATCCACTTCATAATTTTTTTGTGTGTGACTTTCTTTGGGTTTAGCATTTCATTATTGTTTTAAATACTATTAATATTTTATCAAAATATATATATTTTTTCTTTTTAAAATGTGTAACTTTTAAAAGCTACATATATTTTAAGAAAGAGGAAACAAATTTCCTATAATATTGTGATAGAGATCAATAGGACTTGTTTATCCAAAATAGTTTAAATCAAACAATGCTAAAATACATTTATTCAATTCAGTGAAGTGTTTGTGACCATGTATTTAAAGGAGTTACATATTAAATAGTTATTTTTTAAAATCTAACTATTTAATAATATTGTGTTTACAACAATAGAAGGTCACTATCCATGTAATGATAGCTTTCACTGGCATCAATTTGAAATAGGTTTTAATCTGTAAATTAACTTGAATTTAGGCACAAGCTAAATGCACAGTTTGATGTACTCAAATTCTGTGTTTAGAAATAATGCCAGGAAACTGTGGATTTTCCTTGTTATGATAAAAATAGACTGATCACTAGGTGCCTGACACATCTGCACCTGATTCTTAGGTAATGTGAAGCTGTGCACATATTTGAGTCAGACTCTTGCAACACAGAGAAGGAAGTATATCCACGTTTCAGTGTCTAGTCACTGTTGTGATAGGGACACTTTTCCATTGTCACAGGGACAATGACCTCTGACTCCAACAGCATCAAAAAACATAATTTATACACATCAACTTTATATTTCTTGGATTTTTTTCCTTCCCTATAATTTCCAAAGGAACTATATTTTCTTGCTTTTTTTTTTTTTTTTTATCTATGTCCCCTACCCCTTCCAATTACTCCTTCCCTCTTATCACTTTGTCACCCCAGGGTGTGATTACCAGTTTTAAAACAACAACAAGAAGGAAGCTTAGTTAAACTCTTTTGGTTGAAAGTAATATACCTTTAACTTTTAGTAATGCTTGGGCACTTGATAAGGAGCTCTGATGTTGTAGTGGGTGAGGTATTTGGCTGCTAACCAGAAAGTCAGTGGTTCAATCCCACCAGCTGCTCTGTGGATGGAAGATGGGCAATCTACTTCTATAAAGATTTACAGCCTCGGAAACCCAAAGATTTCAGCTCAATGGCAATGAGTTTACTTTTTTTGGGACACTTGGTGCTGAAATTATTGTGGGATCTTCCAGCAGAAACCAGTCATCCCATTACACTCTGCCTACAATGACGCTAAATTCATCCGCTGGTGGAGCTCCATCTCCTCTCCTCACTGAAGTTTACCAGACTATAGTTTAAAAATATACATCACTATCATGTGTCTCCAGTACAGGCTTGAAAAACTTCTGAATACATAAAAAATATCTGGATGAATGAATAAATACCAAAATTGGTATGGAAATTATAGGGTATTTTCCTGTTCTTCTTTATATCTTTATTGTTTGATTTTTAAAAATAAGTATGTGTTAGTTTTATAATCCAAAAAAATAAATAATTCTATCTCCATTTTATAAACTGTTCATAAAATATAAGATCATAAGCCAGTGGAATCTATAGACCCGTAGGAAGTCAGTCCCCAGGTTTGTAGGGTACACTCAATCTCAGTGCCACTTTCTTGCTCTTAAGTATGCCTTGCTTCCTCATCTTTTTGTAATGACACATTAACTGTCTTTTGATATGTTTAAACCCCATCTGATATTTTTTTCCCTGTGAACTGTCTGTCTGTCTATTTAAGGACTTTGCCCGTTTTTCTGGGCTGTGGATCTCCTTGGCTTAGCACCTTGTCCAATTGTTTTGCTTCTTCTGAATCCAGTCCTGCCTCAGGCTCTTGGGATCCTGCACTCGTGCTGACTGAGGATGTCGACATTTTCATCCCCGATATCTGCATACACCATCAGGATGCTTCTAACCTTTATTCCACACTGTCCTTTGGGGGTCTTTTTGAATCTAGAGTCCTCCTGACTTATCCCAACAACCAAGCGGCATCCTGTGCTCCAGTCTTCTTCTTTATTTTTGTCTCTTTCTCAGGAAGTGTAGTCTTTCCTTTTTCCTCAGGGCTTTAGAAGGGGCTGAAGAGCTTATTGGCACAAGCCAACTAGTGTTAGCGGCATATTGGGTATAATGATTTATGGGTGATCCCTCCTGGAGGAGAAATCTACATTTTTTACAGGGACATTAAATGCCTTCACCCCAGAGAGTGACTGACCAATGGTAGGGACTTCAGTCCATGGTGGCAAGTAGATGGAAGAAATCTGTTAGACCAGGTATACCTGAGGGTCTTCACAGCCCACGTGGTAGGCAGTGGCCTATTCTGTCAACAATGTAATGTAGTATGCAGCTTCCTGCATGACTGTGGTGAAGTCATTCTTCATTAAAGTCATAAGAACTGGAATCATATTTTCCACAGTTCTGAGGCCCTCCTGGGGACTCATGGCCTCGACATGTCATGTCGCTGCTAACAATAACCTAACCTAACCTAACTCAATGCTATTGAGTTGATTCTGACTCATAGAGATCCCTTTTGGGTTACTAAGGCGGTTAATCTTTAAGGAAGTAGATGGCCCAGTCTTATTTCAGTGGAGTGGCTGGTGGGTTTGAACTGCCAACCTTCTGGTTAGCAGTCAAATGCTTTAGGCACTACTACCACCAGAGCTCTTTTAGGGGAAAGCATTTTTTCAAGATTTCCACTTAGTACAAGTTAGGGACTTGGCGGTTATAGCAGAACAGTCTTTGATGGATAGAGTTAGGAATTAGTTCAATTAGAAAATTCCACAAAAACACAGAGAGCAATGCCATGAGTGAGGATGAAGATAAGGTCAAGAATGAGAGTGCATGTTAGCACAAGCATGAGAGAACGAGTGAAGAGAGAGAGAGAGCATGGCTCCAAATAATCAGTAGTGAAAGGCTAACTGGTGTGAACTCTATAGAAGTAGCACCCTGGAATAAAAAATACAGGTAGGAATGAGAAAGTCACCTTTGGGATGGAAAGGAGAAATGTTTTAAGACTGAGTAATAAAAATGTGAGGTAGATAAGATAAGGCAAGGAAGGAAAGAAGAGAGAAGGAAGCTAGCAGATGTATTTCAAAGCGAGGCCAAGGAATTCAAGTTAAATATACCAAACTATAACTTCCCTCAACTCCAACAACCAAATGAAATTTTACCAGGAGCCCAGTATACAAAACAGACCAATGCAAAGTTGTTCTGCCCTATCCTGCTAACTTAAAAGTTAATGATATTAGCAGAGCAATTCTCTGTAAAGATGGTTTCTAAAACTATGAGCATCCTCTTACCTTAAGGTACTTGTTTTTAATAGCCGCCTTGTTGAGTCCTCGCCACTGGTCATCTTTGGCACTGGCCTCCTTCATATCCACAAAGTAACCAGTCACTGGGGTCCGCCCAGAGTGGACTGGAGGCTTCCACTGGAGGACCAGAGAGTTTTTCCTGACTTCACTATACTTGAGATTGTGTGGAGGTCCTAAGAGAGTGAAATGATGAATAGAAACCATAGGGTAGATAAGAATAATCAAATATGTATCCATTTAGAATCACACTTAAGGCCCTAAAGCTGAATCTGATGCTTATGGTTTTGTTTGTTTGTTTGTTTGATGTCTTTTACTCTAGCATCCTCATGGAAAAAGATATTTTTGTGGTCTTTCTTGTGTCAACTTTCAACAACTGCTCTCCATCAATCTATTCTATCCTTTACTGGGTGGTTAAGGTCAGCACCAGGTGCCTTTTGATGTCTAGATTAAAACTTTCTTTCAGGCTGTTCTCAAGTCTGCACACTTGCCTGGATTAAAACCTTTTATCAGAACTGTTTAATTTAGTTGCAGATTCTGTTTCAGATTATTTTTGGATGGTAATCTGAAAATTCCCCAAAATCTCAATTAGTATGAAGAAAGCAATTCTATTTTATGACATACGGTGGTGCACGGAATTACTTAATATGGCCCTTCTAGCCATGGTCTTTGTGACTGCCACCAGATCACTACATGGGACTATGAAAATGTGAGACTCTTGTGGTCCACCAGGGAAATTGGATAGCTTGTTAACGATGGAAATAAGGTACATGGGATCCTTGTGGGGTGGGACCATGGAAATAAGGTGTATGGAACCCTTATATGGGTATTTGTCAGTTTTGCCATCCACCAGGCTTAAAATGAGCCATCCCAGAGGTGGAGAGGGAGGATCTCACTACCACCAAGAAAGAAGAGGCAGGACTAGAGCCTTGGCATCCTTGGGATCCCAGACCCCTGTACAGAACCTCCCTGGCCCAGAAGACAGAGAAGCTGAGACAGGTGAGAGACACTGGAGATGGTGAGAGATTGTGGCAGAGAAAACGCAGCAGCAGAGGCAGCAGAACCAAGAGACTGGCATGAGACATAGTAATGGGCTTCCTGGCCCACAGAGTGAGAAAGTGGAGTGCCTATGGGCAGGAGGTTTGCTGGCAGAGTACAGTGCTTCTCTGGGAACCTAACAGCAGAGCTAAAAGAGCTCTGTAACACTTGCTGAAGTAGAGCAGAGGCCAGGCTGAGGTGCCAACGGCCAAAGAGAGGTGTGCCTATGGGCATGGCTGAGGGGAGGAGGCTGTCCTGATTGAAGAATTGTATCTGAGTGTTCCTGAACCTGAATTGTAACCTGTTACTCCCCTAATAAACTCCATAAACATGAGCATTGTCTGTGAGTTGTGTGTGGCCATTGCAATGAATAGCAAGAAGAGAAGTAGAGAGTGCTGTGGGGAGGACAGTTGATGTCAAAGTTGGTAAAAAGGTTGGAAGGTGGTGGCATGTCTGACTTCCACTTCATAGGTATCAGCCTTGGGCTGTTGAGGTGTTCTGGATGGTCCTTTCTACTTGTGAGGTTAGAGGAGATCAGAAGCCACCCCATGCCATTTCTGCACATATGAATACAGGTAGTAATACTTCTTTCAAAGGTAAAAGGTATATATTACAAAATACCTACCAATTAGTGGGAAATCTTTCCCTAAACCACATACCCCACATATAGGTTCCAACTCATAGCAACCCCTCCTTGGTTTTCTGAGGTGGTATCTCTACAGAAGTAGATTGTCCAGTCTTCCTTCCAAGATATCATAAAAACAAATGATAATTTATGGTTTTCAAAGAACTTTTGCCAAAAACAAATAGAACCAAACTTGTGGGCCTTGAATCTGTGCTTATGTCATGTACTTCACATTCATCTATCCCATTTATCAATTAAGAGATATCAAGCAACTTGATGAGCCTCATCAAGTAGAAGGCCAAAATTTGTTCCCTGTGTGTATACTCTTTTCCCTCTTAGGAGAATCCTAAACACTAAGCAATTACCTATCTTTTTGCATGACAACCAGCTGCTATAAAGATGATTTTATTTATTCATTTTCATTTCTTTCTTTCTTCCTTTTTTTTTTTTTTTTAAATAACAATTGATTTCTAACTAACCAATCATAATCCCCTGAACTGACTCACAATAGCTTGACGGTCAAGTACAAACACAGTCTCTATCATGTTATTCTTTGGTGTTTTGCAAAAGATAGTTCAATGTTTATTTGGCCCTTTACCTTGGCAAAATGTTAAGATTTACAACACATATTTTTGGAAGGAGCTCTAGTGACATAGTGCCTAAGACATTTGACTGCTAACCAGAAGGCTAGTAGTCCAAATTCACCAGCCATTCCTCAGAAGGAAGGTTGGGCAATCTACTTCCCTAGTGATGCCACCTCGGAAACTCAAGGAGGGTTCACTGAGTTGGATCCAACTCAACAGCAGTGAATTTTTAATTCAATCCATAACAGCCTACCCTTTGGTCCCCTAAAATTCATGTCCTTGCCACATGCAAAACATTTACCCCAACAGGCAAGAATCTCTGCTTTCTCCCCATTTTCTTCTCTGCCCACCTAACCACTCCCAATGACCACATCCAAAAGAGAGTATCTGTGAGCCAGATTCCAGGATCTTTCTTGTGATGCAAAATTGGGAAAATGTGTATAGAGAGAAAGAGCTAGAAAGGTAAGTGGAGAGAGGCCAGGGATAAGCCTTAGGTAAGCGTGTTACTTGATCTGTGTCGCATAATGAATAGCTAGGGGAGAGAAAGGAAGGGCAAGATAATAAGGAAGAGAAGCCACAAGGCTGGGGCTGAAGGGAGAGACTTGGTTGACAAAAAGAGAGGCTCTAGAGCAGTGGGAGAGTGCAAGAGAACTGATGAATATCAGAAGTTTTGAGAAATTTCACTATGGTATGTGAATTGGATACTCTTTAATTTAATGGCCTTGAAGAAGCAGAAGGAAAGTTTGAAATTTTCTTTGGATTATTATTTGATGCTCCAATTGTGTGCTTGTTTCAATCCCATTCCATGCAGAGGCTTTGCTATGGAGGCTTCAGGATTTATTTGGAACACACATCTAAGGAGTTTATATTGGTAGCTATTATTTAATATTATTGTAAAACTATTTTAGGTTAACACAAAAGTCCACAAGAAATTTTTTCCCATAAATTTTTCTTTGTAGCACCTTACTTTGGTTTTAAGTTGCAAGTTCTCTTTAAAGAAACCTCACCCCCCAGTGCCGAGACAAGGTTTCTATACTTTACCTGGAACAGCAATTGTCCATTCTTCACATTTGAACAATTCACTTGCTGCTGAGAATTCTCCTAATCCAGCAATGTTCATGGCTGCCACTTGGAACTGATATACCATGTTTTCCTTCAAGTTGTTTATCTGCAGCATTGACAATGTCACAGATAGCGAATGCTTCAGTTTTCTTTTATTCTAGATGTTCAATATCTTATTTATTTAAGATGTTCAACATCTTATTTACTTATTTATTCAACATCTCTTATTTATTTACCTCCTGTGTCAAACACATCCTAAGGTAACATCCAATGAGTCATACCATTTTTAAATCTCCTCCCCTGTGACTTTCATCAAACCAACAGAATATGGTAAAAGTATCGGAATATCAATACTGTGATTGTGTTATATTGTATGGCAAAAGAGAAGAGGATATTGAAAATGTAATTAAGATCCCTAATCAGTTGATTTTGAATTAATCAAAAGGGAGATTATTCAGGATGAGCTTGACTTAATCAGGTAAACACTATTAAAAGTGTGTCTGGGCCCTTCCTGACCATATATACTTTCCTATTGGCCTTGAAGGAGCTCTGGTGGCGTATTGCCTAAGGCACTTAACTGCTAACCAGAAGGCTGGAGGTTCAAACCCACCAGCCACTCCTTGGAAGGAAGATTGGGCAATCTACTTCCGTAGTGATACTGCCTTGGACACCCAAGGAGGGTTCGCTATGAGTTGAATCCCACTAGACGGTAGTGAGAGGTTTTTTAAATTTTTTTATTGGCCTTGAGGAAGCCAATGGCCCTGCTGTGAATTGCCTGTGGAGAAAGGCAATCTTTTAGAGTTGAGGGCCTCAGCACTACAGTTACAAGGAACTGAATTCTGTCAACAACCTAAATGAGCTTAGAAGAGGAACCCAAGCTCCAGATGACAACGCAACTTGGCCAATAATACCTGGATTGAGCAGAGGACCCAGTTAAGCTATGCCCAGATTCCTGATCAATGGAAACTGAGATAGTAAATGTAGGTTGTTTTACGCCACTAAATTTTTGGTAATTTGTTATGCAATAAAAGAAAACTCATACATGCCCAAAGGGAAATTAAATGATTTCAAACTAGGAATCAAAATACTCCAATTTGCATAATGTTTCTGCTCTTTACTGAGTGACCTAATCTTTTCTACAACAGTAGAATAACAATTGGATTATTGCCAGGGTAAATATCACATAAAATAATGAATGTGAAAGCATTTGTAAACTACAAATATATGAGTGTGAAAAGTCATGGAATATAAATAATCCCTTGAACATTAAAAATGCTTAATAAATTGAAGTGCTTATAGAATCAGCTGAGTTAGCAAAGTTTATCTATTTATAATTTAAGCCAAGACAAGATCCTATCTATACCTGATTTTATCAGGAAACCATTAGTTTATCTATAAGAGTGCTTGATTGCCAGTTATTGAGGGGATAAGTAGAACATAATAGCTATGTGTTATAGCAACAGAATCATATAAGCATCCTTTTTGACTATACACACATACACACATTTATATATGTATTCTCTTTAAGAAGGTAAAAAAAAAATTAAGTAAGGGGAAACCATGATGTAGATAATTTGGGTAAGAAGTACTTTATTCAGGGACCAAGGTTGCTTGGGGGACTGGTTGTATGACCAATCATCTCATTTTTTCCTAGGATTACAGGGTATCCCAGAATGTAGGACATTCAGAGCTAAAACTGGGAGAGCCCTGGGAAAACTGAGAAAGATAGTGTTCCTAGGCCTAAGTGAAATATCATGGCATAGGATTTCTGTTTCTGTCAAAGGTATGCTAGGTTATTCGAAGTAATCCTTCCACTGGAAAAAAAAAAAAATTAAAAGTACTTGATTAAAACTGTAAACAAATTCTCTTGAAAGTATTAAATTAGTGACAAGACGTTAAGGAAATACCAGGCTAGGAAGAAGAGAAATAGAAAACAAAGAGAGATAAATGGAAGGTGGGAGTGGCTTTTGCCATGGAGACATTTGAGGCAATTTGACCTTTGGCTTTAATGTCAATTGAGGCAATTTGACCTTTGGCTTTAATGTTTTCACAAAGAGAGAAGTTTATGAACTAAAGCCTAGAGCCAATCCCAAGGGAAGAGAATAAAAGGAATTCTTCTTTTGGACCCCAAAGAGCTTTACCTCAGGATACAGATGAATCAGAAATAAACCTGCCTTCATGTAGATGTGCAGGGCAAATTCATGTCGCCTAACTGCCCCAAAATATTAAAGCATTATACTGAATTAAGGGGAGCTCTGGTAGCATAGTGCCTAAGGCACTTGACTGCTAACCAGAAGGCTGGCGGTTCAAACCCACCAGCCACTCCTCAGAAGGAAGGTTGGGCAATCCTACTTCCGTAGTGATACTGCCTCGGAAACCCAAGGAGGGGTCGCTATGAGTCGGGGCCAACTCAACGGCAAATAACAACAACAACAACAACTGAATTAAGAAGGAACTCAATGGGCACCTTGCAGAAGGAAATGTAAATCTTTTTTGAAGAACCTTCATCCTAGACATCAGATTATTCAAGCAATGTTTTTAAGGACAATAAGCAGCATACAGTAAAAAATAACCAAACACAAAAAAGAAGGCACCAAGAATCAGACCACAGATCAATAGGCAACAGAAAAAGATCTTCAAAAACTCACTGCCGTGGAGTCGGATCCAACTCGTAGTGACCCGTCCTTGGGTTTCCAAGGCAGTATCACTATGGAAATAGATTGCCCAATCTTCCTTCTGAGGAGTGGCTGGTGGGTTTGATCCACCAGCCTTCTTGTTAGCAGTCAAATGCCTTAGAATTATCACACCAAACCAAAACAAAACCCACTACCATAAAGTTGATGCCAACTCACAGTGACCCTTTAACACAGAGTAGAACAGCCCCATAGGTTTTCCAAGGTTATACATCTGTATGGAAGCAGATTGCCTCATTTTTCTCCCACAGAGCAGCTGGTGAGTTTGCATTGCCAACCTCTTGGTTAGCAGCTGAATGCTTTAATCACTATGCCACCAAAGCTCCTTGAATTATCAGACAGATTATAAATATAACAATGTTTATTATGTTTAAAAAATAAGATATAAACTTAAAAATATCTGCAGGAGATAGTAAGGTATGAAATATATAAAAGGTGATATACAATAAATGGAAAATACAAGGGAAAAGATAATGGATGCATATAACAGTAAATCAGATGCAAAAGAAAAGAGAATTTGTAAAGTGGCAGATACAGTCAGAAGAAATTATATAGTGCACAGAATATAAAAGGCACAAAGATGGGAAAGAGAGAAGAATGATTAATAGACATGGAAGATAGGTGAGACCATCAAATATATGTTTTATTACAGTTTCAGAAAAAGAGGATGAGGCAGCAACAATATTTTAGGAGACAGTGGCTAAGAATTATCAAGAAAGAGCTTCCAGAAAAATATAATCCACATATTAAAAATATCCCCTCCCCCAAAAAAACCTAAGCAGATAATTTTTAAAAAACCTCTATATATGGACAAATAATATTTTAACTCTATCACATCAAAAACAAAGCAAAATATTAACAACTGACCAAGAAAAAAGACAAATTACCTTCAAATGATCAAAGTGACTAAGAACTGACATATCAGCTTCAACAATGAGCCAGAAGACATGGAATTATATCTTCAAAGTTCTAAAAGAAAATAACTACCATTATAGAATGTTGTACTCAGAAAAAATATTTTTGGAGTATGAAGGAAAAAAAAAGAAATGTTTTCAGACAAATGGAAATGAAAAGAGTTTATCCTCAGAAACCAAACCAAACAACAAACCCACTGCCACTGAGTCGATTCCAACTCATAGCAACCCTATGGGATAGGGTAGAACTGCCTCCATCGGGTTTTTAAGGCTATAAATCTTTATGGAACAGACTGCCTCATCTTTCTCCTGTGGAGCAGGCTGGTAGTTTTGAACTGCTCATCTCTTGGTTAGCAGTTCAATGCCTTAACCACAGCCCCACCTCTTTAAGGCTTTCTTTAGTGAGTTCTAAATGTCAACAATTACAGCAAAAATTGGTTGAAATTTCAAAAGCTTTCCCTTTAAGATAAGGGTCAAGTCCAGAATGACCAATATTGCCACCCGTATTCAACATTGTACAAAAGATTATAGACAGAAAGTAAGGTAAGGAAATAAAGGAAAAGATATATGATTTGGAAAAGAAAAAGTAAAGTGCCATTATTTCATATGATGATCTGACTATTTAGATAAAAAAAAATCCAGAGGAACTTACAGATAACTTCTTAAAATTATAATTGTAGCAAAAAATCTATATAACATTATATGCAAAATTATAAAAATCAATTATTTTTCTATACCAATGACAATAAAATGATATAAAGATACTATTTACAATAACACTGAGATAATACAAAAACAGTCTACCATGATAAATACATATATAACCATACACACACACACACACACACACACAATTTTGTAGCTCTTGGAAAGAGAGTATCAGTTCTTTACACCCATTAACTTGGAATGCTTAAAATATTGACCATGTACTTGGTCAAAAAGAAAAGTAACTGGCTGACTTCATAAAACAAAATGGAGGGGTTTCTCAATTTTCCTGTTTTTAAGTATAAATAAATAAGAAAAAATGGAAAAAACAATAACACTGAAAATACATAGCATCTATAAATAAATACGTCGAACTATGGTGGTTTGTGTGTTACTATGATGCTGGAAGCTATGTCACTAGTATTTCAACTAGCAGTAGGGTCATCAATTGTGGACAGGTTTCAGCAGAGCTTCCAGCCTGAGACAGACTAAGAAGAAAGGCCTGGCAATCTACTTTCAAAAATTATCCACTGAAAATGTTATGGATCACAACAGAACATTTTCTGATTCACTTACTTTGGACCAATAATCATGAAGATGATGTAGGTCCATGCAACGTTTCATTCTGTTATACATGGGTCACCATGAGTCAGAGTTGACTCAGTGGCAACTGACAACCACCATATAAATAACAAATGATTTACAAGACCTCTGCAAAGATTTATAAAACTTCATGGAGAAACTTTAAACAAGACCAAAGCGCATGAAAAGAAACATCATGTTCATGGTTTAGAAAACCAAGCCAAAACCAAACTCACTGCCATCTAGACAATTCTGACTCAAAGCAACAACCCCCATTGGGTTTCTAAGGTGGTAAGTCTTTATGGAAGTAGATTGCCCAGTCTTCCTTCTGTGGAGTGGCTGGTGGGTTTGAACTGCCAACCGTCTGGTTAGCAGTCAAATGCCTTAGGCATTACACCACCAGAACTCCTTTCATGGATTTGGAAAGTCAATATTTTAAGTAGGTCAGTGCTTCATTTATTTATAGATTCAATGCAATCCCAGTCAGAACTCTGAAGTTTAGTTTATTTTTTTTGTCTTTTGTAGGAGTTGGTAATCTGATTCTACAATTTTTATCATGGTGCAAAAGACTAAGAATAGCCCTTGAAGAAGAAGAATAAAGTCGAAGAAATTGATTGGCCAGTTATCAAATTTACTATAAAGCTATAATAATTAAATTAGTGTGGTACTGGCCCAATAGTACAAGCAAACCAGTGGAACAGAATAGAAAACACAAAAAGACACATGCATATAAGGAAACTTGATAGATGATATAGATTACCTAGTAGAATAGTGAGACAAAGGCAAACTTTTCAAGAGGATATCTAGGACAACTGAATATCTGTAGAGGGAAGATTACTTTTGACCCTTGCCCACACCATATTAAACATTTGCATATGAATTAATGACTTAAATGTGAATGACAAAGCTTTAAAATTTTAGGATATAATCTACAGCAATATCTCTAAGATCTTGTAATAAAGAACACATTTCTTTAAAAAAGCACAAAAATCACTAATGACAAAGCAAATAAATTTGATGAGATTAAAATTGATGTGTTCCCCATAAAGAAAGGAACACATAACCCACTAAGGTGGGAAAGGTTATATAGATACAAAAGACTTATCTTCCTTCTTGATAAAGAACTTAATAAATCAGTAAGAAAATCCATTAGAAAAATGAGCAAAACCCTTGAACATGCATGCTATAAAAGAGGATGTAAAAATGGACTATGCACATAGAGCAAGATGTTGAAACTTATTTGACACTCAGTTGGTCAAATCCAAAAATGAGTGAATATACCAAGTGTTGGCAAGGATGTAGATCAACAGGAGTTTTCACACACTTCAGAAAACAGTATCTTGTAGAGTAAACTAGACCCCATGACCCTGTCATTCTACTTTTAAGTAACAACCTAGAGAAATTAGTTGTTAGCAAATTAGCACACATATATGTGCCAGAAGACATTTACAGGAATGTTCATAGCTATACTGTAAACTGTAGCTAAAAATGCCCAAATAACAATCAATAATTGAATGAAAAAGTATATTGTAATATGGTTATATAATGAAATACCATACAGTAATGAAAAATAATTAGTTATAGCTACACACACCAACACAGAAAGTTCTTAAATGCAATTGTTACGCATTCTCAGTATGTGTGTGGTATTTCATACATTTTAAATGTGAAATTAAAGAACTGTGGGATTGAATTAGGAGAAACACCTTCCCCTGACCTCACAGCATGGAGGTCTGTGAGTGCTGGGAGGTGGTAACTTTAATTAATAGCTGTTGATGTGCTAAAGAGGGGAGCCATCACCATGGCAATGGTGAGCCCCTCAGATGCTTTGAGGAGGTCTGATTATGGATGCCCATGTGTAGAAGAAAAACTGGAAGGTGTACACACTTGGAGCATCCCTTTGTGGCCCTCAGAGCCACTACAACAGGGTATGCTTCACAGGTAGGGACTGAGATCTAGCCATTAAACTTGCATTCCTTTATGCTCTGTGATTTGAGAATCAGAAATTAAAAATTCAGAGTCATTTGAAGTTAGAGAGGCACATTGGTTACAGATATTTTGTAAGTTTTGGAAGAAACACTAATTCATACAGTAAAAATACATTTCATATTAAGTATTCTAAGAAATGATTGTTTACGTATATGAGTCAGAAAATATAACTCCTGCCTGTTTGGCCAAACTACTTCTATTAACTTTGATACATGTTTTTTTCTTTCATGAAGACCCTACCATTGCAGACAATGGAACCAGGAGAAAGAAAATGGATAATTTACAAGGTATTGGATGCGTATGCATGCATGTGCATGCAGGGCTATAATCATATATGGCACTCCGCACTAGGGAAAGTCATACCCTTACCTGGTATGCCTGATCACTGACAGCCTTAATGTTGGCTTCTCTCCATTTTCCTGGTACTCCGTCAATTACTTCACGATAGTTCACATAATAGCCAGTAATTTCAGTCCCTCCAGTTTTATCTGGTTGCTTCCAGCCAAGAACCATTGAGTCATGAAAACTTTCAAGACTAGTGATATCATAGGGTGGAGATGGTGTCGCTGTTGTAATATGAATAGCTTGTAAGTAGGCAGAAATATATTTACGATTCCACGTATATTAAACTTGTTCAACTGGTGCCATTCATGAGGGCAATAGATTTTGCAGCACAAAGAAACTAAAATGAGAAACTGATCAGTAACTTGGCGTCCAATTTGGTTTATATAGGAGAATAAAAATGACACAGTAAATATACACTGCCAATATTATTCAAAAAATAAAAGTAATATGCCCTTAGAGAGGAATTAGTTTTGATATATTAACAGCAAAATGATGAAATATTCTAATAAAATGTTTCTGTTCCCCAAAAAAAAGAAATATTTTCCCCCAAGGTAATTTTTTGATGGTATATTTATTTATATGGTTTTGTTTTGATTTGCTTCCTGAGGAAAACAAAATATATATATGAATTTTTTTATCAATTTGCTTATTTAGAATTTGCATCTATTTCTAAGCTAACACTTCATTCAAGTCCACTCACCTTTGTGAGGCCTTACAACTATATAGGTTCTGTCTACATACAGGAAAAATCTTATTTTAGAGCTCAGTTAAATATGACCTTTTAAGAAACATTTTTAAAATCATGCACAATCTTCAATGGGAATTTCTCTTGGTATATGATATTTTTATAGCAATATTTTTAACCTGTTGCTGGAAAATTATTCATATAGCACAAAATACTATACAGCTGGCACTCCGTTTATTACTGTCTCACTAGAAAAAAATTAGAAGGTATTTTTTAAATCCTCCTTTATTTATGGTGGCTTTGTTGATCAACTTTTTACTGAATTACTTAAAATATAGTTTTAGGTGAAGGAGGGTTATGAAAAGAAATGTCTAGATATAGAATAACATCAAAAATAATTTTCTGAATATTCACTTGGACTATAGAAGGTGTGGGGACTATCATACTTCTTCCAAAAGATGTTGAGAACAACGAAGCCTTTTACTTCCTTTATTCTTTATATATATATATATATATATATATATATATATATTTAAATCTTTCTTTTTCTTTTCCATTCTATTTCAGAGTCATGTTGAATATGAACTCTCAATTTCATATCTCATGTCATCTTGAGTTAAAGGGGCCAGTAAATGTGTCAAAAAAGAGAGAAGAGTTTACAGAAGATGGGGTGGGGTAGAAATAGGAGATGGATATAATTTATCAGCATGTGAATGTTGTTATTTCATTTTTATTTGACAAGGAAAACATTGTTTCCTGGGAAATACTTGCTGTAAGTACCAAATATCCTAAGCAAACTCTTCTTAGCTTGCTGATAAATAGTTTTAAATAAATCAGTTCTGGGAACGTGGATTGTACATCATAAAACATAGCTATATATGCTTACAATACTTTATTAAACTTTTCATGGCTACTCAGAGATAAGATTACTTATACTGATGTGAATTAGATGTGAAGGATACTTTGAAAACCTGGGAATAAAGCAGAAGTTAACTGTGAAATATCACTTCTTTGTGAAATATTTTTTCTTCGACATGGACTGAACATGAATATTTCAAAACACCTCACCTAGGCTATGCTGATCAAGTGCTTCCTGCTCAAATCTCTAGTTCTCTAAGCAGAATGAAACTCAAAGATGTCTACCTGGCCAAACCAAAAAGATGCTGTAACCAAATTATTTTAAAGTTTCCATTTCCATCAAGTATAATGTAAAAGCAAAAACTATATAAAATTACTTCTGTAACACAGTAGGCAAAAGTATTTCAAGATGAAAGGCGAAAAGACATAGAATCAGGAGTAAGTGGTGATGAACACAGATGGAAGGAAGTGATATGGACAATGAGTGGTGAGTACACTGATGGAGACAGATGGAACGATTTCACTCTTCCAGCGCTCACCTAGATTCTTCTTCTTTTTCAGAGGGTCAGACTTACTTTTCCCTTTAGAAGCTGCTTTCTGTGGTGGTGGGGTAAGTTCTTCCTGAACATATTCACTTACTTTACTCACTTCTGTTTTGCCCAGTTTGTGAGAGCTACTGGGCAGTGCAGGTTTGTTAAGTTCGCTACCAAGCAAAGCATCTTTCTTAGAGGTTGGCTGGGAGGCTTCATGCATGCCTCCCTGGAAGTCTGTTAGTCCACCAGGTGTGTCACTCAGTTCAGGCCACACATCTTGAGACACTCCTCCCCCTACAATTGCCAGATAATAACAAAAACACTTTGAGCCCAAATACAGTATAAAATGCTCTTATTTAACAGAACAAAGAGAAAAACATTAGGACTACAAACAGAACAGAAACCATCTTTGGTTTAACAGAAGCCACTTGGATTTGCGGGGAATACGGAAACCATACATTTCACGTAATTTACACCAACAAACATTTCACCTTCTCCAGATTCAAGGAAAAGAAGAAATTAGAACAATAACAACCGCAACCACACACACAGAACAGGCACTGCTTTGATTTGCACAAAACAAAAGCAACAACAACGAAAAGCAAATCTCAGACATTTCTTGAGAGACGTATGCCCTATTACTCAACAGAATGGGAAAAAAGACCAACAGTACATAAAAGACATAATATTAGAGATCCTGATTTTATAGCTGAGTTACATACATTAGAGTAACAGTAATGGTCTGTACCTCCCAACCTCAAAGAAGTATGTTCACTATTTCTCATTTTATACCATAACTGAACCAAAGCATGAGTCGATTCCAACTCATGGTTCCAACTCATGTGTTACAGGGTAGAACTACTCCTAAGGGTTTCTTGGCTGAGCTCTATGGAAGCAGATAGCCAGGCCTTTCTTCTGCAGAGCCGTTGGGTGGGTTCAAACTGCCAACCTTTAGGTTAGTGCAAACTGTTTGTGCCACTAGGGCTGCCTTCCATTTTTTAAAACCAAAAAACCAAACCCACTGCCATTGAATCGATTCCGACTCACAGCAGCCCTCACTGGGTTTCTGAGGCAATACATCTTCACGGAGGTAGATTGCCCAGTTTGTGGGTTTGAAACACCAGCCTTTTGAATAACAGTCAGATGCCTTAGGCACTGCTAACAGAGCTCCTTTCCATTTATAAGGAATGCTACAAAAGAAATACCAAATGCTAACTGAAGACAATTGATATTAAATATATTTTCTCTTTAAATATATGTTGCTATATCATAGATTTCATTTGTATTGTTTTGAACTATCTGGGTCCCTTTGCTTACTTTATCCAAGATTGGGAGGTACATCATGCACACACAAATCAATTACTTTGTTACTGGTTTTATTCTGACGATTACTTTACAAGCAGAGATGAAGCATATGATTAATCAACCATATATGCCTTGTATGAATTTTAGAGTTTATTAAAAGCATGTTAATATGCTGTTAGTGAAAACAAGCCCATCCTGTTGCAGATGCAATGATTCTCTAGGGAAAAGCTGATATGTGTTATGGGTGATCTACCACTTTATGGAATTGGATGGTCCTTCACATTCCCAGGATGAGCATGAAGTTAGAATGGAGTTTCACACAAGAGTTCATGAGAAATATCGGAAGAACTTGGACTCGTGAAGATGAAAAGGCTACGGAAACTGGATGAGTGATGGCAATCTGAAAATGACAGCTGGAGAAGGTTAGGGATTACCTAGGCTCAAGAAAATGTTGGCTGAGGGTAGAGTCATTGAGCAACATTAGAAGGTTTAAACAATTTCTGGAGAGGGTGGTATCTTCCTGTATAACTTAGAAAAATTCATTTTCCCCCTACGAAATTACGGATAAGAAACTCACCAATAGCAGCTTTTACTTCGATAGCTTCTGAATCCTGTGAATAGTCACTAAGTCCAGCTGCATTAACTGCTCTGACTCGGAAAATATAACTCTGACCAGTCACTAATCCATGACAAGTAAATCTGAAAAGAAAGAAACTTTTAATAACTGTCCTAGAAGGAAAATCAGGGGAAAGGATTTGTAGTTTAACTAAATCATCTGGCTTTAAGAAAACCATGTTTTTTTTTGTTTGTTTGTTTGTTTGTTTTTTAAGGAAGGGAAAGATGTAGAGAGGTCCAGGTGATATAGTGCTTTAGACAAGGAGGGAACTAAGGCAATTTTCTAAACTCTGTTGAAAAATGAGGAGTCCTGAGCTGACCTTAGCCATTCTGAGCTTCTGTTTGCTCATTAGTAAAATGGGACTTATAATGCATACCTTGTAAAAAATTAGCCATAATTTTAGTAAGTAAGACATTAATAAGTAAGAACTAGTATTACTAATATTATTAATGACTATATCTGGCATATATTATGGCTGTCTGTTCCATATCACAGAGACCTAGTCACAGTCTCCCTGCCTGCTAAGGAAGGTACAATTACATGAAAAATTACACTAGACTCTGAAAATAAAGTGAAAAATGAATTCCAGAATTATGCCTTAGATTTGAAGATCCAATAATGAGCTGTGAGTCCATGGGCAGTTTCACTCATAAAACAGCCCCACTTTTTAATAGCTATTTTTGTTATAAATAGCTATTACATGAATCACTATAACATTTTATCCAACCCTAAGGACTAAAGCCAAAGGAAATAACATGTCTGCTAATGGCTCTATTAATACTAGCACGTGAACATACTTAATAAAGGCAGCATGATCAAGGCTAGTCCTTCAGGTCAGCTCAGTTCGGTGAATATTTATTGAGCTTCTCAGTGTTCCAGACACTGTGCTAGGGACTGTGAATAGGAAGATGAATAAAAGATGGTACTTGCCCTAGAGCAACTCTCAGTCTGTTGTCTGTTCATGGGGAGGCAGACTCTGCCAATCCTCCACGAAAGTGTCTTAGCAGACAGGGAACATGCTAGAGAACTGGGAGTAAACATCGACTGCAGAAACAGGCTCCATGAATCCCTTGCATTACACATTACTTCCTCTCATTAATCAGTTGTCTCTATTCTCTTCTGTTCTGTGAAAGAGCAAACTCATCCTGTTGGGGTTCTTGGACTTAAAACCACCCAAACCAGGAGTTGCCTAACAAGTCCATTAAACAATTTTGGTGGTGGATCTCCCTCTCCAATCAAAGAGGCACCAAGTTTGGGTGTAGGCTATTCACCAGGAGCTTGCAAAGCTAGTTGATAAAATACTTGAAAGCAAAACAAACAAAACAAAAATCACTTAACAGTGATTTGATCATGTTGGTGTTCAGAATTTATAAAATGTTAATTATTTTTTCCACTCATGTGCCTTTAAAGTCATCAAAATGCCATTGAAACGCCATTTGAAGTGCTTGGGTCATTTACTTTAGGTGGAGTCTCGTACATCCTCAGAGTCTAGTATCACAACAGTTAGGATGTTAAAGATCAGAATATCAGTTGCCATTGAGTCTATTCGGACTCATGGTGACCCCATGTGTGTCAGAGTAGGACTGTGCTCTGTAAGGTTTTCAATGGGAGATTTTTCAGAAGTAGAGTGCTAGCCCTTTTTTTCTGAGGTGCCTCTGGGTATGCTCAAACCTCCAACCTTTTGGTTAGCACTGAGTGTGTTGCATTAGACGTTTGCAGCACCAAGGGATTCCAAAGATCAGAATGTTGTTGTTGCTGTTATGTGCCATCGAGTTGGACTCAACTCATAGCGACCCCTCCTTGGCTTTCCGAGGCAGTATCACTACGGAAGTAGATTGCCCCATCTTCCTTCCGAGGAGTGGCTGGTGGGTTTGAACCGCCAGCCTTCTGGTTATCAGTCAAGTGCCTTAGGCACTATGCTACCAGAGCTCCAAGATCAGAATAGAGGGGCAAAAAGAAAACAGCATAAAACAAAAATCAGAAAAAAGATTTAAAGTGAATTCTTACTATATAACTAACATTGTATGTTTCTAAGTCTTTAGCATAACAAGTCAACCATTTCTCAATGCACATGTAGACATACTCAGCTTTAAGAGACCATCTTCCATTGGATGCCTTTATGGGACCATCTTCCTTTGCACCTCTATGGCTCTACATCCCTATGCAACCAGCTGCCCCGTGTCCTCTTCCCCTCCACACCCCCTTCCTGTCCTCCCCAACTGTTACCGTGAGCCCTTCACGGGGTTGTTGTTGCAGGGCTCCCATGTGCCAGAGCCAACAATGCTTGACTCTATGTAGTACCCCACCAGCTCTTTTGCATCTTTGGATTCCTCCCAAGTGACCACCACTGAGGTATCTGTGTTTCTACTTGGTATGATTTTGCTGGGGGGCTTGGGGATATCTGAGAAAAGAGGAAAATCATGGTCAAACCCAGGGTGGTTTTAAAAATTCATTATTACATATGCACGTGCACACACACACACACATACAAATTTTACAGAAATAATCATGTCAAGCTTTGGTTTATTTTACAATATATTTGATATAGCAGAAAACATGCAAAAGAAATATTCTACTTTATTATGACAAACCAAATACCCATTAACCCACTAACCGATTCTAGAGAAAAAAAAAAAAAAATCCTTAGCAATACTTTTGTAATTCCTGGAGAAGTTTACTTTTCATAAATAAAAATACTTTTTTCGTTGTTGTTGTTGTTCAATGTATGATTCAAGTAAAGTCATTAATTTAAATTAATAATGTTAAAGAAGGAGGTTACCATTTTCACTTCTGAATACATGTGTATATACATACATGTATGCACACACACACAAGATGTTTGCTTTGGAGTTTTCTCTCTTTGAAGTAAAGTAGTGTATAGTTCCTTAACTTAACCTGTACTTACCAAGCTTGTCTCCTACCACAGTCATTTCCGTTGCCTCTGAGGGTTCCCCAACTCCAGCGGAATTAGCACAGCGGACGCGGAAACAGTAGGATTTTCCCTCAGCTAAGTCGAACAGAGCAAAGCGGGGGGACTTCACTGGGAGCTCTGTGTTCACCCGCTGCCAGTTTTGTGTCTCAGCTTCACACTGCACACAACAGGGAAGCCCAGTGAAAGCACAGCAAGGGTGGACAGGGCTCTAGGCCAGGCCGCTGGTGTTTTTACTTTTCTATCAATAAATTGCTGCCTGTAGGGGAATGGGACTGGAGAAGAGATCTGGAGAAAATGCAGATGAAGCATCTGACATCACATCCATGGTCGTTGAGTCAATTGTGGCTCATTGTAACCCTACAGGACAGAGTAGAACTGCCCCAGTGGGGTTTCCAAGGCTGTAACTCTTTATGGAAGCAAACTGCCACATCTTTCACCCGTAGAGCAGCTGGTGTGTTGGAACTGCCATCTTTTGCTTGGCAGCCCAGCACTTAACCACTGTGCTACCAGGGCACCTTTCTGATGTCATGAGATTGTCTAAATTAAACACGGCTTTATACTGTTTGATAAACAAGCTACTTTAATGCTTCCTTTATTACTTAAATAGGATCACCTACTACAAAATTATTACAAAGTCCTTAATTTATTTTGAGGATAGTTTGGGGTCAGATACTTTTCTAAATCTTCGAACTCAGTTATGTTTCAATGCCCTCATCTTCAAAATAGGTATGATGAAAATAAAAATAGTTACCTCATAGGGTTATTGTGAGAATTAAGTGGGTTAACATGTGTAAAGTACTTACTTAGAACAGTGCACATGGTGAAAATAAAGACTGGGGGCTCTGGAGACCTGTGCATCCAACTCTTTTGCTAATAACTTTGTTAGTGCAGACTTGCACTAACATGTCAGCCTGTATCTGACTGGAAAGCTCATGCAAATACCAGGTAAACTGTTGGAGGAGAAGTACCAGCATGAGGTAACAGAAGGGGCAAAACCGCCATGCTCATTAGCATTTTAGGGATTGGAATGCCACAGACAAGAACAAGGAAAGCATTCCCCTTTAGAAAGATGAGCATATTAGAAGTGGCTCAAAAGAATTCACTTTAGACTCAGCTCAGGAGACTAATCTGACCTTTGGATAGAGCTGTGTAATGTACCCAAGGCTCCTCAGTGCAGGTAGAACATCAGGGTATTTGTTCTGTGATTGTTCAGTGGGCACTGCAAAAGCCTTCCCCACTCAGTGCTGTAGTCATAAATGCCTCCTTCTATTCCATCCTAGGAGTCCCTAGATGCTGCAAACCATTAATGCCCTTGTCTGCTAACCAAAAGGTTGGAGGTTTGAGTCTCCACAGAGGAACCTTAGAAGAAAGTTCTGGTGATCTACTTCCAAAAACTCAGCCATTGACAGCCCTGTGCAGCACAGTTCTACTATGACATCGGGTCACCAGGAGTCAGAGCAAGCAATTGGTTTGGTTTGGTTTTTGTTACTCTCTAAGAGAGGTGCTGGTGGAAGAATATTTAAATTTTAATCACAGACTCACATGTATTTAAGTCTAGAAAAGTTTTATAATTTCATGGAGAAATTAGTTTATGTGATCAGAGGAAATATTCAACAGAAGCCAGAATTGACTCATCTGAAGAAAATGCCTCAATAATAGGTTGCAACTATGTCATTAGTATAGGAAAGATAGTAATTACTGTCACAGGGGTTATTCAGAACTCTTTTCCTAGGGAGTGTTTCAAAGTGATTCAGTGGGGGTATGTATCAAACACATCAGGGATAAAAATTTATCTATAACTATTCTTACTCTCTATTTAAGGATAAGGATTCTATTAAAAAAAACAAAAAAAAAACAAAAAAACACAATGCTGAGGCTAATATCTTGAAAAGATAAAAATTAATAAAAACAAATTCTTGATATTATTTTGGTTATATCAGACTCTCTCAGAAGATGTCCATATTGCACATTAAAGAGATGATGCATTTATTGTTCCCAATTTGCTATGGATGAGAAGGAAATGAGGAATGCACATGAGTTCAGTGTCTATTTCAAACCCAAAAACAAACCCCCTGCAATTGAATTGATTCCGACTTATAGTGGCCCCCAATGGGGTTTCCAAGGCTATATAAATCTTTACAGAATTAGATTGCTTCATCTTCCTTTTGAGGAGCAGCTGATGAGTTTGAACCATTGACCTTCTGGTTAGCAGCCAATAGTTACCCACTATACCACCAGAGGTCCTTGTCCATGTCAAGGAAAAGTAATTAATAAAGGGAAAACACAGACACTAGCATTTTTAGCCCCAGTATAATTTTCTCAAGAACTTCTGATTTCAAATAATTAAAAGATCATAAAGTAAAATTTCATAAATTTTCATGTGGTTTTTATGTTGTGATCTAATGCGCAAATACTTGTATATATGGTCTTCCTTCCATGGAGTGGCTGGTGGGTTTGAACCACCAACCTTCTGGTTTGCAGTCAAATGCCTTAGGCACTGCATCACCAGAGCTCCTTTATATACCTTGTAATAACTACCAGATAGTGGCTAGTGTCAGGAAGGTGTCCTGAAATTTAATAGTTAGAAGAGCATTAAGGATAAAAGAGAGAGGCCTTTAGGAAAATTAGTTGAGCTCCATAATATTTGGGAGCCCTGGTGGCATAGTGCCTAAGGGATTTGACTGCTAACCAGAAGGCTGTGGGTTCAGACTCACCAGCCACTCCTCGGAAGGAAGGTTGGGCAATCTACTTTCGTAGTGATACTGCCTCGGAAATGCAAGGAGGGGTCGTTATGAATCTGGACCGACTCGACGGCACATAACAACAACAACAACAGTAGTCTATGAATGAGTCTCAGAGATCTATAAACCTCCTGAACTTTCAAGCAAAACTCTTTGTGATTCACATTTTCCTGTGGAAAGAGTTCACAGGTTATAAGGCTTTAAACAGCCAAGGACAACCCTCCCATCTGTCCCCTTCCTAGAAATTTAACTGTTACTTCTTTAAAGAAACCTTTAGGAAATGGCATGAGATATAAAGGTTGATCTCAGAGTCTTACCTTTTCCACATAGTACATAATGCCTTCATGGCCACGCTGGCCAGGAGGCTTCCAGCTTAGCACCACATAGCTTCGGGTGGCCTCAGTCACAGAAAGGTCTGTAGGAGGCCCAGGAATGATACCCTCTGAAAAATAAGAAGGAAAAATGAAAAGCACACATTCTGAGTAGTCCAGGATACTCAAAAAGTCACAGATGCTTCTATGGGGGAAGAGTTATTTACTGTTCCACGGTATAAAGAAATACGATGTCTCTAAACTCTGTCCAAGGAGCTCTGGTAGCACAGTGCCTAAGGCAGTTGACTGCTAACCAGAAGGCTGGTGGTTCAAACCCACCAGCCACTCCTCGGAAGGAAGGTTGGGCAATCTACTTCTGTAGTGATACTGCCTCGGAAACTCAAGGAGGGGTCGCTATGAGTCACGGCCTATTTGATGGCACATAACAACAACAAACTCTGCCCTAGGAGTTCTGGTGGCATGGTGCCTAAAGCACTTTACTGCTAACCAAAAGGCTGGCGGTTCAAACCCACCAGCCACTCCTCAGAAGGATGGTTGGACAATCTACTTCCGTAGTGATACCACCTTGGAAACCAAAGGAAGGGTTGCTATGAGTAGGATCCAACTCGATGGCAGTGAGTTTGGTTTTTGGTTGGTTAAACTCTTCCCTAAAAATTTATTCATTCATTCAAATGTAATCCGAAGCCAGAGAAAGAATGATACAATCAGGCTGGGGGAACGTTCCTCAGAGCTGTCCCAGGACCTATGGTAGATTGTGTTCCTTCTAGTCAGAACAGAGAATTTCCTGAATATTCAGAAGTGTGTTACCTCTGTAATGTGCCACATTACCCCAAACTAAAGGCTGTTCTGATCTCACCTAACAAAAGAAAGCCTTGAAAGGATTAAATTGTTTCCAATTAATCTAGCTACATCCATAACAAAGCTACTAGTATTCACAGAAATACAAAAATATCTAGTATCCAAGAATTCAAAAATTCAAGTGTCCAATTCTAGTATCCAAAATTCAAAATGCCTGGTATCCAATAACATATTTATTACTACATAAGGAAAGAAGCAAAATAGTACAACCCATAATGAAGAGAAAAATCAAGTGATAGAAATAAAACCACAAATGACACAGATGATAGAATCAGTAGACAAGGATATAAAAAGAGTTTTAATTATATTCAATATGATATACAGGGTAAAGATTGAGCATGTTAAGTAAAGCCAAAGCCAAACTCATTGCAATTGAGTTGATTCTGACTCATAGTGACCCCATTGGGTTTCTGAGGCAGCAAATTTTTACAGAAATAGATTGCCCCATTTTCCTTCTACGGAGTAGCTAGTGGGTTTGAACTGCCAACCTTCTGGTTAGTAGTCAAATGACTTAGTCACTGAGCCACCAGAGCTCCTTATGTTAAGTAAAGACATGGAAAATATAAAAATGATCGAAATTAAACTTTCAGAGAAGAAAACTAGTGTCCAGGATAAAATATACAACTGACTGCAATGCAAATTAAACACTAAAAAAGAAAAAGTTATCAAAATTAATGACATAGTAATAGAAACTATGCAAAATGAAACAGAAAGAAAAAAAGACTGAAAGAAAAAAAAAAGAATTTATAGTTTAAAAGTTTTCCACACAAAAAAAAACCCCTCCAGTTCTAGATGGTTCTACTCTGACTTTTACTAAATATTTAAAGAAGAAATAATGAAATTTCTACACAAATTCTTTCATAAACTTTAAATAAAGGGAATACTTTCCAACTCATTCAATGAGGTCAGTACCTGATACCAAAATCAAAGACTTCGCAAGAGAACAATACAGACCAAGAGCCCCAATGAATATATAAAGCCAGTTTCTTAACATAATTTTAACAAGTAATCTGTAATAATATATAAAGAAGATAATACAGCATATCCAAGTAGGGCTTATCCCAGGAATGCAAGGCTGGTTTAATACTCTAAAAGCAATCAATGTAATTTACCATGCTAATGAAAAAGAAAAATCATATGATCATCTTAGTAGCTAACATCCATTTGTAGTAAAAACTCCAGTAAATGGAGATTAGAAGGGACCTTTCTCGACCTGATAGAAGATGTCTGTAAAAACTGACAGCTAACACTTATTTGTGTTAGACTCAATAGTGAAAGACTAAATGGTTTTCCACTGACATCAAGAAAAGGCAGTCTAGTCTCACTACTGCTATTCAATGTCACTAGAGTTTCTAGCCTGTTCCATAAATGAAGAAAAAGAAATAAAGAGTATTTAGATGGAAAGGAAGATGTTAATCTATTCTCAGTTGACATGCTCTTATGTGCAGAAAATCCTAAGGAATCCATAAGAACTTCTAGAATTAATGAATTAGCTCAGTAAGATTTTAGGATATAAAACCAAAAAATACATATATGTAAAGAATTTCTATATATTAACATAAAGAACTGGAAATTGAAATTATAAAACAATACCATGTGTAACAACGTCAAAAATAAGAAATTTTTAAGGAGAAATCTGACAAAAATGTTCAAAACCTGTACACTGTACACCGAAATGATTAAACATTGCTGAGAGAGAAGCCAATTAAATGAAGAGACAGACAGTATTCATGAATTGGAAGACTCGATGTTAAGACGTCAATTTGCCCAAAATTGATCCTTAGATTGAATACTCTCTCATTCAAAATCCTAGCAGAAATTTTTTTTTAGAAATTAACAAGTTGATTTTAAAATTTATATGCAAATACAAAGAATAGCTAAAACAATTTTGAAAAACAGCAAAATTATAGGACTTACACTATCTGATTTCAAGATACAAAGCTTATAACAAAACAAATATAGTTTATAAAAGCTGCAATAATCAAAACAGTGTGGTATCTGTGTAAAGAAAGCCAAAAAGATCAATGAGACACAATAGAGATTCCAGAAATAGGTTCACAAATAGATAGATAGTTGATTTTGACAAAGGTACCAAGACAATTCAATGAGGAAAGGATAACCTTTCAAAAGATACTGCTGAAACAATTTGATAATCATATGCAAAAAATGAACTTTGACCCTTACGTCACACAATACACAAAAAAATTAATTTGAAATAGATCATATACTAAAATATAAGAGCTAATGCTGTAAAACTTCTAGAAGAAAACAGAATATCTTAGTGAAGTCTATTTGTTGAAAATGTCAAATATGACACAAATGTGGTACAAAAGTAAATAAGAAGATCCTTGATATTGTTTTCTTAGGGACATGCAAATTAAAACCACAGAGAAATACAACTTCATTAAAATAGCTAACATTAAAAAACTGACCATTCCAAGTACTGGTGAAAATGTGGAGCAACTGAAACTCTAGTACATTGTTGATGATGATGTAAAATCATACAATTATTTTGGAAAACAGGCAATTTCCTAAAAAATTAAATGTACACTTATATGACCTACCCATTAATTTCCTAGGTACTTATCCAAGAGAAATGAAATGTGTTCACACAAATACTTAACAAGAATATACCTGGGTATTTTTAATAGTGAGTGAATAAATAAATTGGAATGAACTAATGCATACATCAACAGGGATGAATGTCAAAATAATTATTCCAAGTGAAATAAACTAGACAAAAAATACATACTGTATGATTTCATTTATCTAAAATACTAGAAAATGCAAACCAAATCTTTAGTGACAGAAAGGATCAATGCTGACTTGGAGATAGAGGAGAAATGTGGGAGTGAGAGATTACAAAAGGGCACAAGGATGTTTTGGGGTGATGGATGTGTTCATTGTTTTGATCATGGTGATCATTTCAGAGCTGTATACACATATAAAATTTATAAAATTATACTCTTTATATACATGTAATTTATTTGTGACAGTAATAATTCAATAAAGCAGAGATTCTCAGCCTATAATGTTATTTCATAAACTGCAAATATTTCCTTTGATCAGAATACTCTCTTCAAATATCTGAAATAATATACACTGTTCCTTTTACAACAAAGCTAACCTGCATAGTAAAGACACTGGCAATAATATCTGAGGAAACCATAATTCTTACCTGTAGGTTCCTCTTCAGTGACAATTATCTGTCCAGTCCAGGGTGCTGAAGGGCGACCTGTAAAAAAACACAGAAAAAAAAATAGCCAGATTAGTCACAAAGGGGTTTGCTTCTAGTTACGAGTTTTCTTAATGAACCTTATTGAGTGTGTATATGGTATCGTGGAAGACATGGCCTTGGTCCTCAAGGGAATGACAATCTGATAAACCAGTTGCTGTTGAGTAGATTTTGACTCATGATGGCAACCCTATGTATGTCAGAATAGAACTGTGCTCTATAGGTTTTTCAATGGCTGATTTTTTTTGGAAATTGATTGCCAGGTCTTTCTTCTAAGGCACTCAAACTACCAACCTTTAGGTTCACAGCCAAGCATGTAACCGTTTGCACCACGCAGGGACTCCCACAGTCTGCTAAAGCCTAGTTATTTGCCTGGACTGACTGCCTAAATTGATTTCCTACCCCTATCCCCCCAAGAATTGTAGTTACAGAACCTGAGAAAATAACTTGTGTTCATTTACTGCTCAGTATGCGTCTCCTGCAACATATAAGCTTTCTAGTCCCTTCTTATACAGCATGTATTTGGGAAAGATGTTTCCAGAACAATTGTAAGCCCAGTAGTTATTTATGTGTCAATACTGAGAATCAAAGAGTAAAGGGGCGCTGATCTAGCAGTAAAGGTCACAGAAAGCGATTTTTCTCCATTTCATTCTGAAAAATGTTATCTAGGAAGGAAACTAATTTAGATCCTAAGTAAGAGAAATGGGTGAGGCAGACAGTATAAAGTTAAAGAGGAAATTCATTCCTGTGATCCCATAGACATAAGAAACAGAGAGTATGTCAACTCCTGTTTTAAACAAAGTCCTTTTCACCAGACTCTGTGTAAAAACAGAAAGATGATAAATTACACAGCTCATTTTCAATTCAGACAAATCTTATTTTCATTGGAATTTATAAAAGAGAAGTAACTGAAATCACGACACAGGATTTGCAAATTTAGAAAAGAGGAAGGGAAGTCAGCTGATAGGTGAAATGATTGGAGAGCAATCAACAAGGCTGATAAGGCAAGTCTCCAGGGAGAAGATGGCATTACTTAGATTCTTATAATGCCTCTCCATGTAACTAAAGACTAATACTGAGAGCTCTGGTGGCATAGTGCCTAAGGTATTTGACTACTAATCAGAGGGCTGGCTGTTCAAAACCACTAGCCTCTCCTTGGAATGAAGATGGGGCAATCTACTTCTGTAGTGATACCGCCTCAGAAACCCAAGGAGAGGTGGCTATGAGTTGGATCCAACTCCACGACAATGAGTTTGGGTTTTTTGGATAGCATAGACAACATTGTTCAACTAGGGTGATTTTTACCCCCATGGGACATCTGGCAATGTCTGAACACATTTTTTGTTGTCACAAGCACAGGATTGCTACTGGCAGTAGGTGAGTAGAGCCCAGGGACCCTTCAACAGAAAATTGCCCAAAATATCAGTAGTGCTAAAATTGAGAAATCTGGTATAGATTGAAGTGTTAATTTCTAACAATTCTTTTAGTGCCTTTTTATGGCCACTGTAATTAGGGATGCCATTTGTGTTCCTATGAAGCAAATACAAGGTATAATTCTTGTATCATGATTTGGACATCGAGACTTGGAGCAAAATGTATGAAAAAATTATTTTTGACTGTATGATATGAAAAATCAAGTATAGATCAGATATAATGTTGGAAGTCTGTTTTTCCTTTTATATAAAGAGACTCAAGGTACTAAGATATTAATGCATAAGGGCCAACTTAGAGGTTAAGAAATTCACCTTGAAAGAGAAAGAAAGGGGACTTCCAGTAAGATGGAGGAATAGGCAGACAAGCCACACAGACCCTCTTCAACAAAGAAAAGAAAAACCAATTGACAGAGATACAGAAGATAATCCTGGTACCCTGACCTTTAAAAGGAACTATACAGAAGTGGATTAGGCACCGACTAGTGGAAAAACCTGAACGAACACAGTGAGTACAGAGACAGTCGGAGCTGCAGACTGTCAGCTACTCTGACGAGACCAACAGCTTGAATATTTCCAAGTGGTGTTGGGACCTGAGAACTGACCTAAAGATCAGTCCTGGTCACCAAGGGCTGCAGGGACAACTGCTCTGGTGGCCTGTGACTAGGAAGGGAAACAGCAAGGAGGGAGACAGCCTGAACTGTGGACTTTCTGCTGTCCAGAGTGTGCAGCCATTTT